GAGAAAATGCCACAAAGGCGAAAATGTTATCGAAATTAACTACAATTAGTTTCAGCAACGCGTGCAAGTTAATAGAAGATAATATAGATAGAGATAATTAGAAGAAAGAAAAGGATTAGGACAAATTGAAAACCCACCACCTGAAATAAATGGACTTAGCATGTAAGCACACGGTTAGTAAATCGTATGCGGCGTACCTACAAACGCTGCGCCGGTTATGCCTACGTTCTCTGCAGGACCCGTCGTCGCTTCGGTGGTGGTCCCGAGTGGCCTTGATCATGGCTCATTAGACCTGCCTGACTCAGGCACTCGCGACCGCATGTGCTACAGCACTATGCGCTCGATGTCGATGGAGTACAACCCATCGGTGCTGGCCGCTTCCGAAGTTGCCGCTTCTTCTCTGCATGCATGAGGTCTTTCTCCCGCACTTCAGCAACTGCCTTCGTGATCAGATCGCGCCATGCACGCCGATCAACCGCCTTCGATTTCCATGACCTGCAATCAAGATTAGAACGTGAAAGGCTTACTTGGATCATGTCCTGGTAAGGTAACTTTGGTTTCCCCATACGCCGCTTCCCAACAGTCAGTTGACTATTTAAGAGTTGTTTTGGCATCCGGGTCGAATCTATACGCCACACATGACGGAACCATCTCAGGTGTCTCAGCAAAAGCATACAGTCCACTGCATACATTCCACTTCGACGAAACGCTTCCGTGTCCGCAACTCTGTCGCCCTATGCGATGTGCATAATCCACCGCAAACACTGTTGATGGAACCGCTTGAGATATCGTACATCCCGCCGGTACATCGTTCAGGTCTCACTGCCGTGTAGAACGGACAGCACCATGGATTTGTACACCATTAGCTTCGTGCCAATGCTAAGCTGATGGTTGTTCTTCACTCGGTACTCTAGCTCCCCGAATGCCGCCGCTGCCTTCGAGACGCGGATACGAAGCTCACTGTGTATTTGCTGATCAGTCGACATCACACCCCAAGGTAGCAGAAGCGGGAGGTGGTTACCAATACTTCAGCACCAATGCTGATTCGCGGTAATATTGTAGATTGCACCTCCTGTGAAGGCTGAAAGATACCATTTTGCTTGTATTAATGGTGAGCACAAATTTGGCCGCCGTCGAAGCCAGAGCACTACTCATATGTTGCAACTCATCAGCGCTGTGTGCAAGCAACGCATAGTCGTCAGCTAACAGCAGCATACGGATAGCTGTCCCACAGACTAGGATTCTCGCACCGAAACGACGGATGTTCAGCAATCCACCATCAATACGGTGCTCCACACGAACACCGTAAGCACAAGCCGCATCAAAAGCACAAGACAACATGGCAGGAAGATAGATATTAAAAAGGGCAGGAGCTAAGACACAGCCTTGCTTCACACCAGAGACAACTGCAAAGTCATCCGAGGTCTCTCCACTCAGCTGCACCCTCGCTCGCATACCATTGTGTAGACATTCAATTAAACTTACAAACTTACGCGGGCAACCAAACTTACCCAACACTGGCCACAATGCCCCGCGATTCACCGTATCAAATGCCTTGGTGAAATCAACAAAAAGCGAGTACAACGGCTGGTGTTGTTCTCTGCACTTCTCTTGCAACTGACGAGCCGCAAACCAAATATCTATAGTGCTGCGACCAGAGCGGAATTCACACTGCTCTTCTGCCACGTTCGGTTAAACAACTGACTGAGGTGGTTGAGCAGGATAAGCGCAAAAAGCTTGCCCACACAACTCAGCAAGTTGATGCCACGATAATTCGTGCAACATTGCTTGGTGCCGTTGCCCTTGTACAGTGGTAGCACAAGGGCATCCTTCAGCTCAGGAGGCACCTACATAATCCATACGGGTTGCACCAAGTGGTGCAGCGCCGTCACCAGCACGAGTCCGCCGTGTTTCAATACGTCAGGCGGGATCCCGTCGGCACCGGCACACTTGCCGTTTCGCATCTGAGTAAGTACGCTCTGCGCCCCATCCGGTGTCGGCGCGTCCCCCAGACTCGCCCTCACATTGTGCTGCTTGAAGCCGTTCAAAGTAGGCCAGTCGATCTCTGAACGGTTAAGAGACAGTCAGAGTGTTTCCGCCAAATCTGCATTATGTCTGCAGTCTGTGTGCAAGTAGCGCGTGATCTACCATCGATCAGCGTCCACAGCGGCTCTAACCTCGGTCCATATACCACCTTCAAGGAGTCATAAGTCCTTGTGCTGACGACATTCGGCCTAACATTCCATCTGCTTCGCCTTCTCCGTCCACCATGCATTTTTAATGCGACGGAGCTCTCGGGTCAGTCGCCGTCCATTTCTGCGAGACTGACTCTTCTTCCCCAAGTCACTGTGCAGCAAATGCTGCGTTCTTCTCTCACACCAATGCGCCAATCATCGCATTGTTGTCATCAAACCAGTCAGGCCGCTTACGGTTTGCGTCTCCTCGGCAGTAGCTGTCACCTGGTCGCGAATGTGGTGCCACAGGTCGCCCACTGTGGTTATGTAGTCCACATCACACAGGCGTGCAGCCATCGCCTTCTCCAGCTCAATACGTTTCGCTACAGTACCGAGGGAGAGAATGTTAACTTTACGCCGATTCACAGCGGGAGTGCAGTACATAGATTTACGAAAATATATGTACAATTTGGTCCGTACTAATTTGTGATCAGTGCCAAACTCAGCTCCACTCATTGCACGCGTCATGCGCACTTCACACATGTCACACTGACGTACGATGACATAGTCGAGCAGGTGAGCATGACCACTCCGTGGGTGTGTCCAAGTTGCTATATCACTCGCACTCAGTGCAAACCGAGTGTTCGTGATCGTCAGGCCGTGAGTGGCACACAGTGAGAGCAGCCTGTCACCGTTCGCATTCGCTGAACCAATGGCATGCGAACCGATAACATCTGTCCACGCTGATGCATCACGCCCAACGCGCGCGTTAAAATCACCCAGCGGGAATAGTCGGTCGCTCCTCGGCACATACCGTATCACGAAGGATAGCTGAGTTTAGAATTGCTCACGCGTGTCATCAGGATAACACATGGTCGGACCGTACGTGCTTACAAAAGTAGCAAACTTACCTCTTCTGAGTTGTAAGCGAACTGTCATCAGTAGCGCGCTGATGTCTGTTGGTTCACCCACGAGCTGGCAATGGAGGCGACCGGATATTGCAAATCCGACCCCATGATCACGTGGTGCTGAGTCGGCGTGACCCACCCAGTAAAACGTGCAGCCAGCACCTGCTTCATGCAACTTACCTTGCTCAGCTAGCCGATCCTCACTAGGTGCCGCAATATCCATGTGGTAGCGCACCAGTTCCACCGCGACCAGTGCAGTGCGTCGCTCTGGGCGCTCACTCGAGTTCCGTTCCAGTAGTGTGCACACATTCCAGCATCCGATGCTGCGCTTTGTGCGCAGGCATACGATAGTATTGGTAGGAAATCGCACGTGAGGTGGTCGTTGTGCTTCTGAGGTTTGGTTGAGGGACTCAACCCGGAGCCTTTGGCTCAATAGTCTGACCCACAAGGCAGTAAGGATCAGATCCAGCTCGGGAATGTGATTGCAGAAACAGATTGGGATCTGCTTGTGGTCCGTGACACGCAGCCTTTGAGGTACTAGAACGATTCATATATGTTTTGCCACCGTAGTAGGATACACCTGCGACCACAGCCAGACGCAGGTGTGTTTTAGGGGTTTGCACCAATTTGACCAGGGGCTGCCTGGATTAAGGCGGACACTAGCACACCACTGAGCACCCGGAGGTGCCCTTCCACCGTCAGTGATAATACGTGACGCTCGTGCTCTACGCCAAGCGAGCTGTGAGCTTATAATCAGTAGACTTATTGTCTCCCATGGCTAGGTTTTACGGGAAGAAGGCCATCGACCACTTTCTAACCTCCGAAGCGGATGGACTAGGATACTGGCAGGGCGCCCACACCTGCCAGGAGAACGACTGGGGTCTTCAGCCAAAGCCTACGATTAAATGTACACCCGAAAGGCAGTGGGTCTAGCATATGGTCAGTTCACTGACTCATGCGGATTGGTATCCTGGAACTAGAATGATACCAAGTCTACGAAAGCTTCCGTATGAAAAACGTTGTGAAAGGCTCAGACTCTACACACTATCCTATCGCCAAGTAAGAATTGATCTTATTAGGACCCATCGAGTAATACACTTGAATCACTTCTCCATACTGCGGCCAATATTTCACCTGCGAGAACCCTGTAACACCCGAGGACATCGTTACAAACACAGGGTCCCCAGCATGAACAAAGTATCACATCAGCTTTGTAGCGAACGAAGAATCGTAAACTTATGGAATACACTACCAGAAGGATTAATAGAGGCCGATTCTGTGAAGTGTTTTAAAACCCGTATCGACGATTATTTTGGAAACCTGTGCTTTTGTGAAACGATGCACATACAGTGCCAAAAGAACACATTGTATGTCCGGAAATAATGACGCTAGTACAAATTTCTAACCGAACATGGATAAACGATTAACGGACCAGACACAACTGCTGATAATTCACAAGTAAATTTTGATTTTTCGTAATTCGATAAAGTTGTACAGAAACATTTCTACTTGCTCTTAAATACAGTCTCAGTCTCTTAGCAGGGAGAATGGCGTAACCCAACTCCCACCCAGCGGTCGCCACGAGGAGGCGTCGAGGACAAGAGCCAATGGCACAACAGTAGCAGCAGTGGGTAGATCATCTGTCAGGATCTAGCATCCAGCAGCTTCAGCGCACTATAGTCTCTCCCGCCATATATATATGTACATATATATATATATATATATATATATATATATATATATATATATGTAAAAGCAATAGTTCAACAAGTGGGCATGGAGCTCAGTAGACCGGAGAAGAACAAAGAAAAGAGAGGGTGAAGTCGACGAGGTCGAGAGGGCAGATTATAATCCGCCGATGTCCATTTCGAAAGTGCGGTTTGATGAAGAAAATGCGATTTTGTAGAACAATGATTACCTCAATGAGATATCCTCTGACATTCGCACTCTGGCCAGTGAATAATGTTACGAAGTTAACACCGAAGTCACCTAGTTTATACTTGATGCCTTTCCCTTCTACTTGTAGCTTCTTTTTTCGCTGATAAAAGGACTTCAAATATCCGGCGAATTCGCGAAAAGCTAGGTCGGTCACCAACATCGTGTTGTTGTCAGTCAATACAAAACAAGAAGCTGGGTACTCGGCTGTGGTGAGCACTTGGAAGGTTTTGCAAGCAGCTAAAATGCTCTTGTAAAAACGGAAACATGGTCACGGTGTTACATTTTGGTTGTGTTGCGAAGTAAATAGCGCTTTCAATGTACATACGGCCGACCCGTACAGCGCCTGGAGACAGGTTAAGGATTTGGGGGAAGTATGGAACCTACCCAGAAGTTCAATTTTTCTCATCAGGGCTTCAAGCGCCTGTGGACCGCCTTTTCCATCAAACGAATTCCAAAGGAGCACGCTGATAAGATAAGAGTAAAGATAACAAATTTACCAAGATACACCGGGCATCTAGAGGATGGGGAAGCGACTGAAATGCAGAAGAATAAAGAGCAGATTAAGTTGGATGGATGAAAAGTATGTGAAACAAAACACGCTGTGTGCGAGTAAAAGAAGGTTGTGCCGAACGGTGTTATTGACAAGAATATTAAGGCAGGATCACACGGGGTAAAATGGGTAAACGGATAGATTGAAACCTGTAGTAAATAACTTGTTGATGTTGTATGAACATTTGTATACTTTTATTAAAGTTATAATTATTTTTGCAGCTACTTTGCATAACCTGACATTATTTTGCCTTGCTACTACAATACAGGAAGCCCGGCCATCTTGTTCATGGCTGCCATGTGTCGCTTTAAAATAACTAATTATTAAACAAAAACTGGCATGCCCTACATATTAGTAGTCAGTGGAAGTTGTTCTCTGATTTTACAGAAAAAGTAAAATGTATTAAAAGGTAATTTAAAAATGACTTCTGAATAACCTATATGGGGTAAATTGGATAGGTCTACATCTTACAGAGTAACTTAAGTTTATTGCAGAAAAATTACTTGATATTGTTTGTAACACGCATACTGCCATAACTAATATATTCTGATGTGAGTTGATAGTCATAGACTGCAGTAAATGAAAATTCCGGTTGTAAAGAAGATTTTGTTACAAGGAAACAATGCAGGTCGTACTAAAGATTGATTTGCGCAAAATATCACGGAATTACAATCGCAAAACAAGCAGATATTCACGGGGAGGATTAGAAATTGCTCGACGCCTGGTTGCAAATGACTTTACAAACTAGCTCTAGTAATGAACTTCAACCATTGAATGTTGATATCAGTAGACCATTAAAGTTGGTTTGCAAGTCAATTCTAAAGACGTGCTTTCGAGAAATCAGACTCCAGTAAGTCAGCAATAAAGCTTAATCACTATTGAAAAAACTGTTTGAAAAATTACCGCAGAAGAATGTTTCCGATGAATTCAATCACCAGGATATATCTAGTTAAAAAGAAGCCAATCAGCACAAATCATAAGTCCAGTGGATAACGCTGACGCATCATCATCATCATTAAACACGTCAGCTAGAGGTGGGAAACACCTCAGCTACTGTGCCGCAAAACAAAAAGGATAAGGGAAAAAATACAACAGTTGCAAGAAGGCTGAGCTACCAGCAACGGATAGGCATCGCTCCGGTGAGCAACCAGCCGGCAATGAAGCAAAAAGAAAAAAAGGTTAGGTTATACGCCACGAAATGAGATCGTAGATGGAGGGAGAGGCTAAGATGGATGGGGTGGGACAAAGAAACTCACAGCACGAACGCCACTGGGGTCAGCTCCTTGCCATATCAACAAGTGTATCCAGCCAAACGTGTTCATCGTCTTTTGGATCCCAACCAGGGAGCCGAGACGCTCCAACCGAGGCCAGCTCAGAAGTGAGGGCCTTCATTCCTTTCAACCAAGTCATCGCTTGGCCACCTCTCCTCTTCTTCAATCCACATCCACGGCGCGCAAACAACGCACGTCGTGGAAGTCGGTGGGCTGGCATGTGTAACATGTGGCCCAGCCATCGGAGCGTGGTGCGTGAAATAACGGTGCTGAGCGGTTCACTTCCTTTTATTGTGCCGTAAACAAGGCGTCGAACACGCACGTTGCTCACGCGGTGTTCCCACCATATGTGAGCTAAATTGAAAAGGCACCGACGGTCGAACGTAACTAGCCTCTTTATGTTCGCCGATCTTAGGGGCCAGGTTTCGCAACCGTACAGTAAGGTCGAACGTACCGCTGCATCGTACACTCTACCCTTCAGGGCGAGAGTAATGTCGCGCCGCCGCCATAAGTGGCGAAGGTTAGCAAAAGCACTTCGAGCTTTTACTATAAGGTTCGTGATTTCGTCTTCGATCCCAAGGGCGCTGATACAACTTCCGAGGTAGTTGAATTTCAGAACGACTTCTAGCTGATCCCCACCAAGGGTCAGCGCAGAAGGAGGTCCCTGCCAATCTTCGAGGAACGCTTTACATTTCGATGGTGCAAGGCAAAGCCCGAAGCGGCTGACAGCCAGTGCTACTCTGTCCAGTACCGCTTGGCACGTCTGGGAGCTGTCACAAATGAGGGCAATGTTGTCTGCATACTTTAAGTCAAGAAGTCGTTCTCCTGTGAGTAGCTCCACACCTTCCAAGCCATGTCCTGTAAATGCAATCTCCATGACTTCGTCTATAGCGAAGTTGAAGAGGAAAGGTTACAACGGGCATCCTTGTCTCACACCGCTGGAGACATTCAAAGGCGACGACAGCTTGCCGTAAGCCCTCACTCTGCCTGAGCTACGCGCGTATAATGATCGGATAATATTTACATATTTCTCGGGCACACCTTTCCTGAGGAGATAACTCCAAAGGGCACATCGGTCAACCTTTGATGTCGAGGAACACGAATACGGTGGGCCACCAATATGTATGACGATGCTCCAAAAACTGACGAAAGGTGAAGATGTGGTCGATGCAGCCACGACCCTGACGAAACCCGGCTTGCTCCTCATGAATCTGGTTTTCACAAGTGGCAGTCAGTCTGTGAAGCATGACAGAGTCAAGCAATTTGGAGGCGATCCATATCAGACTGATTACGCTATAGTTGACGCATTCCGAATGCAAGAATCCCATGAAGATGGAAACAATAACGGAGCGGCTTCAGTCGGTTGGGACAGTCTACTGCTCCCACAGTTTCACTAGTAACTCGTATAAATCATAGACAAGAGCAGGACCTTCGAATTTGAAGAGGGCTGGAGGAAGATCATCTGGTCACGCGGCTTTGTCCAACCTCAACAGTCCGATCTCACGTTCGACTTCTGAGTGAGAGGGTGGATCCAAAGGGACAACCCAGGGAGCGGGGCGATCACTGGTCGGCGAAGAATCGAACAATTCTATCCGATTAAATCGCTTTTCAAAATGCTCAGCCCAACGCTCCAAGCGTTTTGACAAGTTGTGGATAGGCTGTCCACACCCGTCACGTATAGTTTCATTAACACCAGGTCTCCTGCTACCCCTTTCCCGTATCAGACGGGATAACTTACGATGGTTGCCAAAGGTAGCGGCCATTTCCATCTCAGATGCACGATGAGACCACCAGGATTCGCGATCTCTCTTCAGGCTAACACGGAGTTTTGCCCGGAGCTCTTTGCGAGTTTCATTGTGTTCGCTTCCAGCCGGAATCTGCCGGCGAGCATCGATAACTTCCAGAGACTGCGAAGAGACCCAATGTCCATGTTGGCGATAAGACTTACTACATGAGGATTTGCCTGCTGCTAGTAAAGACTGGTAAATATGAGACAAGTGAGCTTCAACTGCATCCAACGAGCGCTTACTCAACGCGCATGACAGCGTACTTTGATAGGCATTCAGAACAGCTGGTTTCGCCAGTTGGGTGGTGTCAATGGGATCACAATGTAGTTCTAGGCGTCCGCCAAAACACACACACAGGTCAGCACATACAAGTGCATTATCCGTGTCCACACATGTGCTCCAAATCGAGCGATAGTTCCGGACGTAGCCTCTCCAGCGGTAACTTCTCGCAATGTGATCGATTTGCGTCCATAGCTAGTTCGAAGCTGGTGGGCGCCAAGTCATCCTCCGGCGGGTCATCATCATCATCATCATCATACACGTTAGCTAGAGGTGGGGAGCACCTCAGCTACTGTGCCGCAATGGGGAAAGATTCATTGTATTGCGTGGGCAGGATACTGTCAGGTTGCCCAGGCCTAGACAGGAGAACGATTAGGGTTCTCAACCAAAGCCTTTGGTTCAAAAATCTGTCCGCAAAGCAGCGGGTTTGGCGCTGGGCTGCAAGGAGTCCGTTTTAAGGAATAAGGAGCCACCCTCATTCCAACCCCCAACCTGGATGACCAGGAGGTTGAGTTTGTCTGGCCTCTAACCATTGACCAATCTGGTATGATTGGGTTTGAATTGCAAACAATGCGCCACGCAGGATAGCTCAATGGGTCGCTGAGGCACACAAACCATCGCACTACGGTAAGGTTCAGCGTCATTGCGACGGCAACGAGTTCGGTCGTCAGTGACTTCATTTCGAGCTGCGAAGTTAATTTTTGCCCACTTCGGGCCTTGCGCCACCCTACATCTGGTAAACAAAAAGAGGCGGTCCTCGGTAAGTGGTGAACAGACATACGTAGTACGTGCCAAAGCCAATGTAACTTATGCAGTGCTCTGTTGCTGTAAGGAACAAGACTGGTTATTGATGCCTAGTACTCGCTCACGCATATCATCGTTGTGGACACGCTAATGCCATCTGACACTAGCAATGCTCCGCAGACAACGATGATCAAAGAGTTGAAGGCGCCGCAGGTCCTCAGATCGGAGGGGTCAAATGTCGCTTCCGTAGTGTAGGATGATCCTCACTATGTCCATGTAAACAGCGTTTTATCCGGATGGAAACCCCTTTCTGACGCCACAGATACAGAAAGGCATTTCTAGCTTTTGCAACGCGGGAACTGACTTCAGTTTCTATGCGCCCATCGTTGCTGATACAGCTGCTTAAGTAAAGGAATTGATCAACTACCTCGAGTTCCTCACCATCAAGGGTCAATGGTGGATCAAATGGCTAGTGGTGCTGAAGCAACACTTTACAATGAAGGTGCGAAGCGCATAACAAATAATATAAATAATGAGTCAGCTGTACGCCGTAACGGCGCTTCGCTGCCGCGCAACCACCACTAGTCGCGCGCAGGCTGAATATACCGCGAGGACGCCCACCCCTACGCGGATTCGAACCGGTGACCTTATGGTTGCAAAGCAAACGTGCAGACCACTCGGCCACCGGCCGACTGCGAAGCGCATACCAAATGATGGCACCACTATAGAGGTTATGCAAGGTTGATTGTGTCGATCCAACATAGTTAAAAAAGCAAGACAATATCGTCCACATAACCAAAACGAGGTAGTCTTTCACGAAGCAGTAACTCAAGGGAACACTCCATGATGTAGTCTAAAACGAAGCTGAAGGATGATAGAGAAATGGGACAACCCGACGAACA